AGGAGGTGACGTCAGCATCACGGCAGCATGAGATGTCCCTCCGTTTTGTCCCCCGTTTTTGACAGCTAACTAGGCATCTGCCCATGAAGAAAAGTGTCTCTGTAGGAGCAGCGGGGTCCAGCACACATGCCAAGGGGCCTGGGAGGAGGCTCGCTCACCTCTGCGTCCAGTAATAAGCAGACAGACCTTGGCCAAGGCTGCAAAGCCAGCAGAAGCCAGCAATGCGACCCCAACCCGCCCCTGGCCACGGTCAGGGAAAACCTGGAGAGTGCTGACCTGGGCAGACACCCGCAGGCAAGAGAGAATTTGTAGAAGTCCAGCCTTTTTGGGAGGAGATTTCAGCACATCATTGGAGAAAAAACACAGGTTAGGACACACTGGAGAGGGTGAGAGGAACTTGGCCAGCACTGCCCCTCCCCCAAGGCCACCCCGCATGGGGCTGAACCAGCTGATGGAGGAGGACAGCGACGCACCGACAGCCACTTCTCCCCGCCAGCACCAGAGCGCTCAGGCAGGGCCTCCATGACTGGGGAGGGAGAGAGGAAGGGGTCAAACAAGAACATCAAAGGGCATTAAGGAACACAGTTCCTGCACTCAGCCCTTCAGCAGGAAGTCCTACAAGGAACCTTTGGGAGAAATTCACCCTCCGACGCCCCCCAGGCCCACAGGTGCCTGTGACACCCCTCCCCTGCCTCTGCAGCCGCCCCGTGTGTGGGGGTGGGGTGGGGTGGGGGGTAGTGCGAGCGCTCCCTGTCAACGGTAAATGAAGTGCCATCCGAAAACAGACCAGGTCTGTGGGCCAGGGAGAGCCACAAACGGAGCAGTGGCACCACCTTCCGGAAAACAAAAGAGAGGTTTCTAGCAGCCAGCCTGGTGAGTTGTAAGGACCAGAGAAGCCATAAAAGCTTATGAATTCTGCAACAAGAAGGAGTAAGAAGAGTGTAGCACTATTTACACAGCCAAGACACATAGAAAATAAATACCAAAATGACAGATAAACCCTACCTCATCAGCAATTATGTTAAATGTAGATGAATTAAACATTCCAATCAAAAGGCAAAAAATGGCAGAAAGGTTAAAATAAATAATGCAAGAATACACTTTATGAGACACTCTTTAGAAACAAAGACACAAATAGTTTGAAAGTAAAAGGGTAGAAAAAGATATACCATGAATATATACAATGGAATATTACTCAGCCATAGAAAA